TAATTGAGGGTGGCTAGAGCTTAAATTTACTGATTGGTGGTGACAAGGTTGGGCGCAATTGGTGTGAAATCGTTTTTAACTAGCTATGGCCAAAAACATTATGTTACACATTATGATCAGTGTAAATACAAATAATTAATGTGAATTTGAATATCAAAATTATGTATTAAAGGGAGTAATGCCATACAGTAGGTTTGCACAAGGACTGAGCTAAGATACTTTAATTACCCCTTACTATGTGTTGCATTTCAAGAGGCAATCATCACATGAATGATCCATGAAAATAATTAATAGAATCCTGGAGCCACTTCTACTGAGAAGTCGTCCTTTAAAAATAATATTTCAAAACATTTCTTAACCTTTAGGCCTTTCATGGTTTCATGGTTAAGACAGGCAACACTGAACAAGCAGCTCAGGTAATTTCAGAATGACAGTCACAAACTTTTCTGTATTTTTATCTTCATATTTTGCCCCACAATTTGGTCATGAATGGCAATCAGCCTTTAAAACAAACCTGAGCTTTACCTTTCAAAACTACCTGCATCCAGTCAAACCACCTGCATAAACATCGTTCTGTTTAGGGAATCAATTGTCTTTTTCTTAACTGTGATTATTAAATTCAACTGATTTGGTGTAAGGAGGGCTGTGGCTCCAGAAATATGTCATCTACGAACATGGCATGGCATTAAAATGATTCAAAATGAGCTATTAGCAGCTCCTCTGCAGTGAACTCATGGACATAGACGGACAATCACTGGGTTTCTTTTACACCGAAGAAAAGGTGATGATCATTCTCTAATCTGCTCTGCAGTTAAATACAGCAGGATTTCTCACTGAAGGCTTTTTGAAAAGTCTGTGTGTTCAGATTTGAGTTTTGACTCTGGGAAGATATGTGGTTTTTCATATACATTGCGGCAAACAGGCATTAGGGAGTTATTTTACTTCAACTGTCTTCATGAGCATTACCAGATCCACTGCTGCAGTTGAACAACATTTCAGATACGAAAACTTGAGTTTCAAATTG